AATTCAAATTATATAAACTGCACAGAATGCATGCACGGTATGTATGCTTAGTGGTGGAGTTATACGATGTTGTTCCATTCACACATACGAAAATTCATGTTTTTGACATAGATATTTTAATGGATGTTTTGAACACAGGAATGAGACACCCCACTTCATAATTTTGAAACGTTATATTCGAGGGAGATAAGGCAAATAAAAAAGACAAGGAGATTGTTGTCATTGTGGTTCGGTCCTTGCTATTATGTGAAATCACGTGACCGTATATTACATCTATCTCTGCTATTAGTCTATCACAGAGGGACTTTCACACGCTCGAAAAGTAAAGTGATATTAAGTAGATATTACTCCCGTTAGAAATGAAATTTACATTTATGTTCATTTTTATTCTAAATATTTGAGACCAGGCAAGCCAATGATAATGATGTTTTTTTCTTTGCCTACTTTTCCTGAAATATACAAATCATATCCGCGGTTAAGTAGTGAAAGATGATTCCATAGAAATGATTAAATCAACATATGTGTGACAAAAATAAACCATTTTACATCATATGTAGTACCAGAAATGACAGATAAGACAGGCTGTAAAACATGAGTAGCATATCACCGAATAACACTCTGTTTGTTAGATGATACACATTTTCATTAAAGGAGATCATCCTCGGATCATCTCACAATCTCATATTTATCTCAACAGAATTGTTTGAAATGCTGATTAAATTACAATCAAACCGCTTTGTCTATTGCATATGACAATGTAATCAATTTTATCCATAAATATTTGTAATACCTCGTAGTGTTAAATAAACAATGCGTTCATTATAACACCTACATAAAAACAGTTATTTAACCAAACTTTTCAAACTCTGTTAGTAACATGAAGATGGAACCGATATATTTACATTAAAATAATCAAACAAATAAATCTATATCTATATTCGGTGTGTTTTAATGATCAAATTAGTCATAGTTTGACAGATAATACATATAAAATTATGTAATTATTGTATATGGTAGGTTACTATCAGAATGAAAAACCTGCATATAACACTCTGATATCAGCTAGACCTATGCATTTTGCAATAAAATATTTTGCCACAATCACCCGAAAATGATCAATGATCGAATGTATGTAATACACTGTTTTATGTTTGACTTGAAATTATATTTGAATTGATTAGCAATCTGCTGTAAATCAGATTAAACATAACAGGACTACCACTTTACTTAATAATGGTTATAAATGCATTACCGTTATTGTTTTGGAAAAATACCTAAATCGGATATGGAGTTCAAACAGGCGAGATTGTGCAGCTTGACTCCAGACAGATGACAAATGAACGGGGAAATACCACTTCTACCTCACCCACACATATCCCTTAATTATGTTCCGTGCAAGTGCTCAGTTCTATATATAAACGAAATGCAATAAGGTTATTTGAGCTGCACTGAGTACCGATAGAGAGCGGGATACTTGACATATGAAAGTGGACGAATTTCTCACCAAATTACGAAGTTATTAACCTTTGATATTGATCAAAATTATTAATATCATTGCCAAGCTTTCTGATCAGTATTTTCACTTTAACCTGTTGTAATGTATCGGCGTAGCATAATTGTTCATAACTATAATAGACCTCAATCTTGAAAACAACACCTGTGTATCTACATATAAGTGTGTATAATATAAATGCTGTTTTTTGTAAGTTATTTACATTTGTGATATATAAGATTGTTCACCTCTAATCTCACAATATCAATACATCTTGGCTTAATTGTTGTTGATACTAAACTCTTCGATTTAAGCTGTATGCTTTCGTGAATAAATCAATGTTTATTGAAAATGTTCTGTTCTATTTTTGATTACATATTTTCGCGTTTTGTAGATAGTTTATGTTACACTAAAATAGATATTTTCCAAACATCGCGATCAAAACAGTCGGTCATAACATAAAGCGACAGGCTATCACACCAATGTAGGTTTCTTATCTGTGCTTGTGAATGGAGCTCTCAACAAACGATTGTAGGACGTGTCAGATTCTTAATATTGTACATAAACCTGTGTTTTATATTCCTGTCTGTAGGTATATTCACATAAAAATAGATTAAAAAAGAGCCTACCGTCCATACTACGAACGGTTTTCTTAAAATTATCGACTGTAAAATTAAAAAAAAAAATATCTGTAATATTCAAAAACACTCCCTGTTGTTTGTAGATTAAAACAATAAATACAGTAGGCAAAAACATTCCTAATAGATATTTATATAATTAATCTTTCTATATAATACATTTCAACGACTACTTTAATAGGAAACATATATATATATATGTATATATCTTCACCTATAAAGTGGCAGTTCCAATAAATAGAATCATTATTTCTATTTTTGTTATTTGGATTTTTTTTCTATTATTATTATTTATTTAATTGATTTGCAATTCAATGCGGAAAAAAATCATCTTATTTCCAGAAGCAACCATATGTTGATTAAATGGGAAAAAAACATAGCTGTCATATTCCTATAGAATTATGCATTATTTTAAATTCTATTCGATGATCAAATATTGGACAAAAACTTTTTTTCTGTTCCGTCCAAGTAGTATGTTGTGTATTACAGAGAAACAAATTATTTTTTTCCAACATTCATCACAATATATATAAAATAATTATAAAGCATCTTACTTGGAATTGTTTAGGACTGTATACTCACTAAAACTCTGTGACAACTTTTCAATGATTGACAATATGCTAATTATGCATTGTTTGTTACAAGCTTTAATAGCAAAATATGATGTAATCAGATGTAGATTGAACACAAGTGAATAAAAATTTCCAATTAGATACGGTAGAGCCCAATAAAGAATTAAACCGCATCATACAGTTATTTCTCTCTTCTATTTTATCAAACCAACTATGTTAGCGTTTATTTGATTTTGACACTTAATACGATTGCTGTCAAATTGACTTATTGACTTATCATATTTTATATCATTATTTTCATTCCTGTGATGTATAATGAAACGCTGTAAACGAACGCCGTGTCTATGATACTTTTACAGCAATGCAGTAAAATCACCTTACCTCTGATCAGAAAATGAGGGCAGCGAGGTGTTGTAATAAACAAATTCAATGTTAAACAAAACCTTATATGTTTTCTCATATCTTATTGCCAATTTAAATTTATAAATCCTCGGAAACATAAAAATGTGAAAAATTATCGTGTCAGCTGCAGGCATTTAGAGACAGAGAAAGGCATGTTAACGAGGTCATGTCCACTATAATATACATTTGAGTACACTTACAATGAGATATAGCACTATGCGGGTCTTCAGTTGTATCAATTCCATGAACTCAATTATCTTTTCAAGAGGACAATGGCCAAATTTTCTAATCAACTGGGTCATAAATACTCTTGGCATGCGTACCTAAGATGTATGGGGGTGATCAACATAGATTGTTGGAACTCTTCAACATGAAGTGGTACCTCAGGCTGACGTCACTTTACTTTCAGGGGTAAAAGTCTGCACTATTAGCACGAAAAGATAGCGGTACATATGTAACACATCTAATGCCTGTCGGATATCATTATATTACATAGAACATAATACAAACATATATGTGCTAACATGGTATACTAAAACAGCATCTCCGTGTTGTCTTTATATCTTTTTCTGCACTTTTAGAAAATAAAACTCACGTACAAAATTTAATGACATATAGTGAATGTAATTTATTCGAGAATATAGGTTTACTACGGAAATCTAAAACCTTCTTCCCGTTCTTATCATACATGTGCATGTACTTCAGTTAGTTTTGTTACAATGAAGACGTCACCATACTTCAACTCCAGTGCGTTTAACAAATCTAATGTTCTGTAATTGAACGGCATACAAAACACATAGATCCCGTATATTTTTCATGGGTAACGACGTTTCCCATATAGTCCAGTGTGCCATGGATGTCTATATATCGTATCAATATATCAGGGATCATTAGCCAGGAAGGCATGGCTGTTTGGACCAGTCCCGTATGTTAGTGTTGTATGTACCAGCGGTGAGAATGCTGAAAACAATGTTGATTGTATTTATATTGCTAAGCTGCAAGTCTTAAACCAAATAAGAATTGAATTGAGTATTATTAAAGAAGACATATTGCCAGTTTGTTCCCTATAATTTACACGTCCAGGCATACTGATATAAAAAAGTATTGTTAGATTTCTACAACATAACATGTGAAAGTCACATCTGTTTTTCTATAACTGCCTGTGATACTTGAACATTCAAGAAATCAATATTTTCTTTAATTCAACTTTTTTAATCTGAAAAAGAAAATGCGCTTTTCAAATTAAATGTTTTGGGAACAAATTATACAAGTTCACTTACCGCGTAAGTTATACATTTAGGCCCGGCACATACCGCCGAGTCTCTACATACATACATACATGTATTTTATTGATACAAGTAAAGGTGAGCAGCATGCTGTATACATCACAAAGATAAGTGTCATGTTATACAGATAATATACGTTAATATTGTCATCATAAACAACAATGCATTTACCATAACATATGGCCAATTTTACATCTGCAGTCTATCATACAAGTATATAGTTTTGACACGTACGCGAACACTTAAGCGTCACTGAGTAAAAAAGCGCTTCATCTTCGGGACTAGCTGACTTACGCGCACGAAATGTAAACAGCAAGATGTTAACATTCTTATTGTTTCTAAAACTATACGACTTAGACCTACCAGTGAAGATTAATGAAAATCACTGTTTTTTTCCTGCCTGAGCTCATCTAACTAATCGTGATGAGGGGAGTTATATACCACCCTGAATCGCGTAGTAAAATTTACAGCTTTACTGTGTATCGATCCTACAGAATCGAAACACGCATGTACACCAGTATTAAAACAATTTCAAAATTGAACTCTCAGGTTTTAAAAGCACGTTGTTGATAAGTGAATGCCAAGCGTCTATCTGGCAAAAACCACTTACCTGAACACAAAAATCCAAGAAAGAAGACTACGATTTCAAGCATCTTGGTGACGATGATTATCATTCCTGATGCAGACACCATTTATGATCCATTCATCCACTTAAAGTTAAGATTTATTGAAACTGGCTTTTTTTCTGTTGACGATGGACAATAGCAAGTTGGAACGGTGAAGATTAGATTCAAAAATGAACTTATAAAAACACTTTCCTTATGTTTCACGTTCAAAGTGGAAACTTGTTGAAGAGATGAGCAGTTATGTTGCTATTCCCACTCGTAATCCGTGAGTGTAATCTAAGATCTCGTAAATTCCATAAAGCCCCCGTAGCCTTAAGGGTCGAATGTTACCAGTAGCACAGACCGCGCAGCGTCGATAGGTATTCAAGATGACAGCAAATGATAAAAACAAATAAGTTTTCAAACCATACACCATCACACGGCAAATTTACATAAGAGATGACATAGTATAAGAAGACTTTTTTGAAGGCTTACACACATATGTAATATAGTCACACGGTCACAGAGCTATCAACGAAAATGTTGGAAGAGCCATACGTAACTTGTCAGGCGCTACAGTACTGGTATAGCGTTATTCATTACGAGCCTGGCGAGCCACTGAGTATTGATAATAACTTTTCCACTAACAATTTACATATTCGCTTTGAGTAGCCCGCCCTCGTGAAACGCTATCGTTGTAGGATTTAGACTTTCCGGGAGGACGACAGCCAATAGCGAGTGACGGGCGGTTGGATATGTAAGTTCGGAGTGAGTGAGCGTCGGTATTGACTTTAGGCCAAACTCTGCTTTGAGTCGGAAAGCCCGCGACAGTAAAAGGGATAGCAGCACAACAAGCAGTGGTTGACTAGTCAGGGTAAAGTGTAGTAGTAGTAGCCGTTTGCAGGCACGTAAACTGGCCGACGGTATACATCGTAAAAGCCGATAGCTGATACTACTAGTCTATCCGTATGAGAACTAGGTGCATCTATGACATTTAAATGTAACTGTCATTCCTGTCTGTTCTACATACCACATACCAGTCCTGACCATGTGAGGTATACGTGCATGATTGACACGTTTTACAAATGGTTTAGATTACACACAACTGCTGGATACAATTTCCTACCTGCTGTAGTGCTAAAAACTCCACCTGAATAGATTTTTCCATTCAAATAAGTGGCACGGTTTTCATTTACCTTTGCACTCCAGAGATATTTGAGGCAATTTGAAGGTAAATAAGTTATCTCGAAGTTGGGGTTTTTCATTAACATTCATTTTCACATCACACTTCAAGAAAAACATTTTCATCTTAAACCTATGGTAATTCCATGTAACAGTTGATTTAGTATTCAATGGTCTGTTCTCAGTATCACAATTTTCTTTCAGGATGCTGAAAACAGACGGACAATCTCATAACACAAGGATTTAACAGATGTAGGTTGATGAAATTATGGTGAAGTTTCACGATCATCATAGAGAAATATTTGTTTTTTGTCTGATATAAAGCTTGGCGTGTTTGATGCACGTAAGTTTGCCTGATGATTCTGTTTGTTGCTGTATACCTTGTTCTCATCAGGAAACGTGATATCATTTACTTGGATTAATTAAGGTTTAAGGTGTCGTCGATGGAGCATAGGACGCTTTGCAGGATCACATTATCTTATTTTCCTTGTGCATTTGCAGGAGTATCCGTACAGTAATATAATTGTCTACAGAAATAAACGCAACATCGACATGGATGTTATTTTGATCTCATATTCGATAACACTATGACAAAATATTAACAAAGGAAAGTTTCACAAGGCGACACTGCAAACGGTACAACAAAATCACCAGGTGTTTCGGAAAAGTAAGCGTATTCTGCTTCATCGACTAACCCGCCTTATATAGCTTGGCGTATCAACAAAATCAGTTGGTATTGACAAGATATTGAACGAAAGGAAAATGTAGAATACAATGAACGAGCAGTCTACTCGCTTCAAACACAAATCCCGCAAGGAAATAAAACATCTCCGAATGAAATCATTGTAACGACCATCAGGCTTCACCATCATCAACATAAACATCTTGAACCTCTATGTAGTGTGTAGGAAAAAGTCGAGGTAAACAGCAAATGTAGAAGAGTGTTGATTTCCAATTCTGGCAGGTATAAATCGTTGATCCCATGTTAAAAGAAAAAATTACAATCAAATAGATAAAAAAAATGAGTGATTTGTTACCAGGCTTGATAAGATCTTCGATACAGCCTTGTTTGAAAACATAAAGATATTGGCTAAGAGAGGGCGTGGTTTGTTCTCATAGGTTTCCAAATTAGTCTGTTGAAATATATTACCACCAAACTGGAGAACTTGGTCAACTAGATATTCATTCACTTTCACAATTTCATTCTCAAAATATTTCTTTTTGTCCTTAGACGTACTTTTCACGAAACAATCACCAGTATAGTTCACAATCCTATGTTATTGTACCGACATTCAGGTTTATCGGAAAAATAACTTTTAATGGGATATGGTAGAGTACATAGTGGAAAAAGCAAACGAATACCCTTATTAAAGAAATTTTTCTGGGGAGAATGTTAAAGATTGGTGAAAAGCTGTTTCGAGTTCTATAAAACCTTCATACCATTTTTATCTCAATGTGGAAGCTATGAAACGGTACTGATAATTCTGATCGTCAGCAGAAAGGCAAAACGATTGAAATACAAGTGCATTGACATGGTTAATTTGTTTACATTTACTTTGATTTACCTAGAGTTGTTTCCTAATTCAGGTTGCTGTCGCTAGTTCCGACTTTGTGTTTTTATATCATTGATATACATGTGCTACAAGATCCTGTGTTATTGTGCCATGGAAATTTTGTCCTTGTATGTATGCCAGGACAAAGATATGCTAAATTTTTGTGAGTTGACGATTTATGTGGGGTTTTTTTTCAACACTATTTCATTTGATTCTGTTTTTCCTGAGACTCTACCAGATTTCAACACTTAGATCCCTAGCATCAACGGTGTGGTGATAGGTAATTTTCGTTAGACTATAGTGTAGTACAAAACATAAATTGTGCTTTAAATGTTTGTCTTTTACAGAATATATAGTATGTTTTGCTGGTAACTTTAATCGTGAGTGTTGTGATAGTGTAGATGTATGATCTGTATCATAATGTATTGATAATATTAGTTTTTGGAAAAAAAAGATTAAGATAAGTTGCGATGCGTTGACGACGCTGTCAGCCCGGTTTTAGGTGTAAGTGTTTGCTTGTAACTATATAGTAATTGTGGTCACTTCAGTTTCCTATTGTGCCTAGGTCACGTCTGTAAACTCGATGTGGGGTGGTAAATAACTCTTTCTGCAATCTATCTCGTGTTATGTGTTAATTTAGCAATAATATCAACATATGAACATAAGGGTTTTACTAATATGATGATATAGATGTTTATTTTTTTTAAAAATGTCTTTACCTTTTGTTTACTCCTCCGCTATTTCAAAATTCGAATTATGTTTTCTTTATTTTGTGATTCCCGTGTTTGTAGAAACAACATTGGTTCCCAAGTGAGAGAAGAACACTCTGACACCGAAACCCATACCGACAACAACGTATCTAGTTACCAGCTAATGTTGACACAGAGATGATATTGTTCAGAGGCTAACGAAATTGTGTTACGGTAGCTGTTATAAATGTTTACATTTTTACTTTAAGCGGTGATATGATGGATGGGACGAAATCGATTAAAACCCGACACTCTTGGGGTTTGTTGAAGGCTCAGGTGATTTATCCACCGTCTGTAGACAGTCCGCTGACCAAGTCCTGGATAATTAGAACAACGTTCTGGATTCGTCGGGCAGCAGCGGAAGTACATTTTTATTGCTTTACTTAGTTGGGTCATAATGTATGAAACGTGTTTATGTATCTCGTTTGATGGCTGTATATATCTGAGTGTGAAGTGACGGGATTTTACCTAATAATGAATCAAAATCCTCGCCTTACAAACATTTGTACAACAGTCTTTTCAGACAGCACAACAAATAAAAATATAAAGGTAATGATTCTTTCTCACACTTCCGGAATAAATAGATTTACTCCCAACTGTTACAAGCATCACAATAGTTTCATCATATCACATGTTAGGGACAATGTTTGGAACAAAGGTGATGTAGATTTCATGGAAATTTAATACCACCTCAGTGATGATTACTTGATACTAAATTATCTCAATATTTCAGATATATCGTCAAGACAGAACGTCAGAAAATCTAATTAAAAGAAAATGTCATCAAATTTTACGATGAAAAAAAGTATCGACAAAATTTCACTAACAGGTAATCGCACAAAGCTAAAAATCTAACAAAAAAAATGACACTGTCAGGTTTTCACTAGAACGAAAAGTGCCCTTATGAAAACGAAGATAATAAATAAGGAATGAGGGATATTTAGAGAATAAGCTAAAAACGCCAGAACTAAATCAATATAGCCCCGTTTATCTTAAACCTGTTAGCAATGCATACATAATGACAGTACTTCTCTCTATTCCAGTTAATATATTCCTTGTCTTAACATTTGGACGGTAAGTCTTCAGGAAACGTATTAGTTTTGATTGGGCTAGAAACTGATACCGTCCGACATAGGAATGGACGTAAACAAAGCATGTTACAGTATGTACCCGCTTCGACTGCACTCCGACAAGCTCCCTTTACAATATCAATTGAGAAGCTAGCAGGCGTGAGTGTGAACGCGTACGCCTAATGTAGCGCAAGACCTAGTCGTCTTTTAATTTCTTCAGTGAGGGCAAAATAATGAAAGACGTCTTTAAGCATGATTATAAGATATACGTGATTCTTAAGAAAGTCACAAGACCTGTCGTTCTTATCAGTTGAAGCTAATTAGTACAAACAGCATATCGAGTTAATGTCATATTATCATATATACTTATCTGTGATTATTTGAAATGAAGTCAAGCTCTATAGATGATCGTTTATGTTGAAAAACACTTTAAATGAAATTGCCTTTTAAATGGGAATAAGATTCACAACAGGATATTTATTGCACATCGCGTCAATTTTCATGTTTACATTTCAAAGCGTCTGTTTAGTTCCCATGGAATATTCACGTCCACAATCACGGCACAGCTATTCAGTTCACTAGTACAAGATTTTGACAGGGGTCCGGCATTTGATGGCGGAAGATTATCAACTAACAAAGTTGCCATTCAGAGAAATACACTTCGTGTTTTTTATTTTTTATAAGACTCCTCTCTGCGTTTGCTCTGATAACAAATATCACGAGGTTTGAATTAAATCGGATTTTTATGTACCACTCCAGTAGAAGCTAAGCATGCGCGTTATTACACCACCAACCGCAAAATGAGTTCATGGTTTTAAACAAACTAGTGTTCATCTGACAATTTTGGAAACCAAAAGTGATTATGATGCAGTCTGTGAAGGACATTTTGCATCTGATCATGTGATATATGGGCAATGCAAAAAAATTTCAGGCATAAGGATGAATCCTATATTTCATGCCGGATGTGTTAGCACGGATATTCAAACACACTCATAATCTTTTGTATACCATGATATAACACTGTAATCAATATTCGTGTCTATATTTACGTGATTTCATTTTCTATTTACTTACATGCACCCAGCATCTGTAACATTGGAATTGCACATGTCTGCGTTTCCTGTACAATGTACCTATATACTCCACTATTACTGAAACCTTCGAAAAGCTGTGGGGATTTCTATTTGAATGAAATTGTACTTGTGGTATTACGATATGCCGTCTGCCACAGATCAAGGCTTGAGATAGCGATTCTGATCACGATCGCTATCACGGGTT